TTGAGAAACATTTGTTTTGGAAACAAGTAGTTTTAAAACACGGTGTTTGAAAACCCAACAGGTATTATTTATTTTTAAAACAATTTCAAAAACTGAAATTGTTTCACAAACTTTTTTATTCATGTTTTAAAACATACTAAAATTGTTTGTTTCAGAAATAAACAAAAAATCGTTTAGGAAACCGTTTCGACATCCCTAATTACAACCAATCAAAAAATGTAAAAAGTCGACTATGTGCTTAAAGTCAATGTTTTTTTCTTTTCTATCATGTGAGACGGCAGTCATCAAGCACTTGCTAATGTGTTTTTTCGGTTTTATCTGAAAGAACAACGTTGTATCGTCCTCTTCTGACTGCCTCTATCAATTGTCTCCCTAGTCATGTTTAACATATTCAACGGCGTTCCAATCAGTCATGATACGCTGTGTGTCTGTGTGTACTCACTCATGTTGATTTTGACGTTGTTGTTCTCATCATCAAACAACTCCGGTACTGGTACAGTCAATATTGTCTAGTAGACTTATTGTCAAGAAGACTTATTATGTAGTTGACTGCTTATATTATCTAATTTTAGACTTTGGTCTTTTTGGCAATAAAATACAAAACCCGATTATTTAATAAAAACAAAAGAAAAAATTAACAAGATACTAACCAAACGTGTTAAATCGAAAAAGACGTCCACAAACCTTATAAAGGTGGTTGTGATATTTATTTATTAGTTAAAAAATATTTTTTAAAAAAATTAGAAAGAAAAAAATATCTATTCATTTTTAATAAATAATTTATAATTAGATGTTCATTTTATTTGTTTGTTTATAGTTTATAACAGTTAAATTAATTAATAAAATGTATAATTATTTTTGTAATAATTTTTTAGATATCAAATGATTTGAACAATCTTTTCGAGAAATGATCCTATTTCAACCAAAAACTGCACATCATAATTATAATAACCTTTATTACTTATTTACTGGTATATTTCAATGCATGTTGTACAGTTGACCAAATAATAGTCAGAGACCAAATAATTATAAGAAGTAAAATAAACAGTTTTAAAACCTTAACCAAGAACTATTTTTAAAAATAGAAATGGGTTTCTTAGCATTATTTGGTGTTCCTTTTTTTTCACTTTTTTTCAATAGTCATTTCCAATGTAATTTACGGGAAATACATCCTTCTTACAATTATTTGGTCTCTGATAATTACTTGGTCAACTGTACACAAAAAGAAACTTTTTCTTAAACTTTTTTTTAAAAAATATTTGTCTATTTTTTAGTTGTCAAATTCAAAGATTTTGAGATCTCTTTGATTTATTTTTGGCTCATGAATGAATTACAAAGATGTTACCAAATAGAATTAAATTATAATCAAAACTCTTTGTTGTCTATTACTTCCTAAAATTATAAATAACAGAATGATGTCATAATTCATCTATTCTCAATATGAATCACTTGTTGTAAAAAAAGTAATTTATCAATCATCATGTAAATTTGTTTTGTGTTCCTAGTGAAATACACAAATTAATTAGATTAAAGTTATTAAATAATCACAATTAAGGTTTTGTAAATAGAAAAAATATTCAATCAAAAAGAAATATGTTGACATGACATTAAATGAGTTCTATGTATGAAAATGATGTTTTTTCTTGTTGTTTTATTTGTAGATATTATTATTGTGAATTGATAAATTATTTTTTAAACTTTGAAATGAAAAAAAAACATTTGTATTACCAAAAATTATTAATTTGAATCAAATAAATTTTTATATTTTTTTAAGAAAAATTATGTATACCTTTGGTAGTCAATTTTGTCAGCCCGAAATAGAGCAATTTACAAAAAATGAAAAGTTTTGTGTAGTTTATATTTGGGTTTTTTCCCGTTTTTTAAATCTTTTTTATTATGTTAATTTGAATGTTATTTCATTTCAACGATTTTTAAAAACCGCCACGTCACCAATGTTTTAAGCATTATCTGCTATTGAAAAAAACGGATTAATCAGATGTGCATTTTTGTTTTGTAGAAGCCACCAGTTTATGTGGCATTTCAATTTACAAATAAAAAAATATAAACAAAAATATAAATAATGTGGAATTTTGATCAGTAATTACGGGATATAATACAATTATAATTATTTTTGTTTGTTTTGCCACAGAAAAACATTTTAATATATGCTC